AACTGAGGAGCATTCATAGCGCTATATGCGTGCAGATGAAGCCTGCACCGGACAAGACCCCACCATGTGAGCTGGAATTGATATGCAAATTAGATACAATCAACTCAGGATTGAATAAGGACTGGGAATGGCTGAGTCATTACAAACATTGAATCTATCTCCCCTTGTAAGTATTCTCACACTTCTTATCCAACTGTCTGTACTGAGCTATCTTGATTATCACTTCAAAAGTTTTTTTTCTCTTACTTAATTGGCCTCTCAGAGTTGGTAAGACAACTCCCACCTGTTCATGCTCTCTGTATGTGTGTATATATATCTCCTCAATATATGTTCCACTCTATATGCATCCGAAGACGTGGGCTGTAGTCCACAAAAGCTTATGCTCTACTAAATTTGTTAGTCTCTAAGGTGCCACAAGTACTCCTGTTCTTTTTGCGGATACAGACTAACATGGCTGCTACTCTGAAATCTATTGTGTCTATGTTAAGTAGATTAGAGGAATATTGAAGGCCTGGGTCTCAATGTAAATTGTCTTGGTTATTGATTGTAAAACTTAGCAGGGTTTAATTTGCAATGCCCTTTTGCTCAATATAAAATACTGCTGTTTGTATTCTCAGTCTGTTTGTGTGAATGAGGAATGTATGCATCAGAAAAAGGTAAGGTGTGAAGGCCATTATTATAGCCAGAGTCAAGGAAGAAGGAGTGAAGAAACTTATAGGACATCAAAGAATCATCAACACGCATCCATAATGAAGGGCAGATTGACGACCCTGAGGTAAAGGCTCGCACCCCTAAAGACAATTGATTAAATCGGAACAAAGGACAGGATGACCTTCTCGGAGGTGTATTGGAATGTTTACACCAATTAAGAAGTAACCGGTCACAAAGTGACACAGCAAAATCCATAGGCTTCAACAGAGAAGAAAACCTATAAGAACAGAATGCTTTGCCATAGGACTTTGGGTTCGTCTTGCCACACTCCAGGAGCATCGGATCGCGACCGATAGAACCCCGCTCCCCTCTGCGACCAATCTGGCTGGCCACTAGATTGATCCAGACTCTAGACTGGTAGCTATAAACATCACTGCAGGACTGTGTGTGTGTGTGTGTGTGTCTAAAGCATATGCTAACTGTGGTATTCTCAATAAATGCTGTGTGTATTTACCTTCCTCTATAAAGATCCCGTGTGCTTTGTATGAGCATAACAGCTGGTCAGGGGAAGCCACTGGCAGATGCTTTGTTTACCTGAGCGTCCACAGGCCCCGCTGTTCACAGCACCCAGTGGCCACTGTTCGCTGTTCCCCTTCCCCTGACCAGCCATGACCCAGACTTTGAACACCCCTGCTTTAGACAGCATGACGGGAGAACGGAACCTGGGTCTCCCACATGCCAGCTGAGTGCTCTAACCGTGGGGGTAAACATTATACGCTGGTTGACATCACCAAAACCACATTCTCCTTCCCCCCACCCCTCACATTTTGTGTGGAGCAAGGCAGGTGCCTACCTCATTCCAGCAAGAAACGCCTTAGGAGCCTGAGTCACCTGATGTCAGGCACTGGGTTCCCATCTGTGGGTTGCTAAGTAGAGACACATGCCCCTCTGTGGCCCTGATTTAGGAACCTGTCTGTGAGAGGGGACAGGACTTAGGACACCCCTCCCTTGTTGGCATCTCCCATTGACTAGCTTAGATGGCTCCCCCCTCCCCACTGAGCTGCCTTTTGTGAATCACACTCTAAGTTGCCTGTGATGCCCTCGCACTGTGTAGGGAATTCAGGCCCCAACTCAGGTTTGCAAAATTGCCGACTGTGATTTTCTAGTTGCCTACAAGTTAGGCCCTGCCATGACGCTCAGCATTGCAACACCCACGTCTCTTCATGGATTGCACCCTGTGTAACCAGTCAGCTCTCCACAGAGCACAGCTGAGCAATTCCTGATTGGCATGGGTGTGTACAGGACAGAGACAGAGCACAGGCTGGATAGTGACATATCCCAGTAAAACCCCAAACTCTCCTCCTAGAGGTGTGATATTTTCTGTGGGTGCTGGGGAGTCACAACCAAGTCAGGAAGCAAATCCCATGATGCTGCAACCAGCACCTGCAGCTGGGACAGTAAAGTGGAACAGGCAAGAATTGTTTGTAATGTTTTATTTACAGAATTTGGGTTGCCAACTTTCTCACCAAACACCCTTGTCCAAACCCAGAGCTGAGAAGGAGCCTTAACAACCACAGCATGGAAAGGAGATTCCCCAGCTACCGAGAATAGTTTACTTAATGGCACAAGAACCGTACAGTTGCTCAGGAACTAATATAGGGAATTGATAAGTTACAGTCGCTCTCTTTCAGTAACATGTAATAAATCCCTCTGTCCCTCTCATATTCCTTTTCCTTCTCCCTTTTCTTTCATCCCACCATTTTCTACTCAGCTTTTTTGTAGCCCTCACTTCCCACCCCTGTTTATTTTCCTCTCCCACTCTGCTCTCCTCCCTCCCACAGATCATCCCCCATGGCTGCTCCATTCTTTTCTCTGCTTTTACCCTTTCCCCTCTTGCTGAATGGCTGGTTCCCCTGCCAGGGATATTTTCCTGTCACTTTTCTCAATTCTATTTTCCACCATTTCTCCTGGACTCTCCCTTGATTCTTGTTTCATTTTCATTCACATTTTTCTTCTTGCTTCTTCTAATTCCCTCTGGGTAAACCCACCCTGTCCCTGCCTCTCCCAGTGCTGCCAGTCTCAGGAGTTAAAAAAACAACAACATGAGATTATTAACCTTAAAAAAAATCCTCATTGTGTCACAGTTTTTTTTGTCAAACTGCACCCATCTCACCTTCCCCCCGCCCTTTGTGACAATTACAGGGTTACCAGCTATCCTGTAGTTACAGGGGAAGGTGACTTGGGCCCCTGCGGCAGGAGCTCTGGCTGGGAGACCCCATGAGATCTAATCCCACAGATCTGTAGAAAACGCTCCCTGCTGCTGTGGAGCTTCCAGATTCTCCCCAAACCCTGATTCATTAATTCTGTGTCTCTGCCACCCCCATCTCTGCCTGTCCCCAGCCTGGCTGTTAGTGCTACTCCTTTCTGAGCCCCCGCATCTGTCCCTCAGGGCCCCTCTGCCCCTCCTGCAACCCCAGGGGTTCATGCCCCCTCCTGCTTCCATCCCTGGTGCTGCAGGGAAGGGGAGGGGCTTCCACAGGTCATAGAGATGAGGAGCCAGGGACTGGGTAGACAGGAGTCCTCCAAGACCATAGAGACTAGGGTGTGTGAGGCTAGAGAGTCTGATTTCTGGTTCCTCCCTCTGCTGCTTGTCTCAGGGACACAGGCAGAGCCAGAATCCCCCCCACAGCCAGAGCCAGGGTCGGATTCTCTCCCCAGGGATGAAGCCCGGCGGGAAAGTGAAGATCGGGGCCTCGTCACCAGCATCGATAAATGTCACCTGCCCCCGGTCACAGTCCAGACAAACCCGGATCCTGCTGGGGGCCCGGCTCAGGGGCAGGGGGGTCGCAGGGGAGGTGAGAGCCTGGAACCGATCCCCCCACCGCTGCACAGCCCAGATCCCCCCCTCAGGGTTAAGGCTGATCCCTCCCTTCCTCCCCACAGACTCTCTGGCCACCCCCACAGCCCAGTATCCCCCATCCCCCACCTCCACCTCCCAGCAATGTCTCCCTGAGGTGAATCCCTCACAGCCCAGCACACAGGCCCAATAGTTAAATCTCTCAGGGTTGTTGGGCAGTTGCTGCCGTGTGTCTCCCCATCTCACACTTTTCCGATCCTCAGACAGGACGAGGTTGGGATAAGCCGTGTCTGGATCCAGAGTCACATTCGCTGGAGAGAGAGAATCAGAGCGTTAGGGGCAGAGCACAGCCCTGGGGGAGGCTGGGACCATTTCTCGCACTCCCCAGAAGCCCGGTCCTGGCTGGGACAGGCCTGGATCCCAGGGAGCTGCCTCTGTCCTGGGCACCTGAGACTGAGCAGAGATGTCACTGCAGTTCCTCACTCTGTGTAATGGGACCCACTTCATTAGTTTTTCATTTCGTTGCTGAGGAATCAGCTCCCTGTTCCCTCTGCTGGGGCTGCTCCATTCCCAGCATCAGAGACACAGCCAGGAAGTGAGGAGGAAGCAGAGGAGGTAGGCACCAGCTTTGAACCCCAGAGGGAAGCTCCCTCCCCTAAATACAGCCTGCACTCCCCGGCCAGAGTAGGAAGAGCCAATTAAGACCAGAGAGTAGGGAATGGCATTGAGTGGGGCAGCCTCCACTCCCAGGCTGGGGAACAGAGAGGAAGGTGCAGCATTGGGGAAGAGCTGCTTAAGAGCAGAGTAGGAGGGGGCATTGGGTGGGGTAACCCCATCCACAGTCTAGAGAGAAGAGAGGAGCTGACAGTCTCACAGGGAGAGTGTCTCCCCAATCCAGGAAGCAGGGAGCAGCTCCAGTGGGAGAGCCCAGCCCTGCCCAGAGGAAAGGCCGGATGTTGGAGAAGAGTGATGGGGAGACCCCCTGCACCGGGATAAAGCAGAGGGATGTGTCAGCCCTCAGGGCAGAGAGCTCTGTTCACAGGCTGCTCACGGAGAGTTTTTCTGTTCAGCAGCGTGGGCATGAACTCAGCACGAAGGTTGGTGTCAGGAGTGTTTGTGTGACTTCAGCGTGGGAGCCCCTCACTGTGCAGTGTGTTGTTTTTAGGGCTGTGTGTGTCGTGGTTGATGTCGGTTTGGTTGGTAACTAGCTACAATCTCGTGAAGACATTTTCTGATAAGTTAAAGACAATCTCCAGGTGCAAACTAACCCTGTCTGAATGCTCCTAGGGATCCTCCTCTTTTTGTCTCTAGTGCAGACGGCAGAGTGTCTGGAGGGGGGAAGGAGAAAGGAGACGAGATTTCAGGCTTTCATATTTATAACTCTCAACTCCTAGAACTGTATTTTAATTATGACAGAGAAACACACCAAGAAACACTCAAATATTTAATATAAAAAGGTCTGAAACCGTCTCTTTCCTCTCTCATTCAGGCATCTCCCAGCAATGGAACCAACATCCCTGCAGCCTCACAACCATCCCAGGACAGACAGTCTGTCAGTGAGATCACCTCCTCATCCCCTCCCACCCTTCAAACTTCAGTTGGTTTGTCTCATTCACTTACTGCCTTTTGTTGTAACCTAGACCCAGAGCCTGCAAAGACTTTGGTATAAAAGTAACTTTATCCACTTCGGTCCCTCTGACTCTAATGGGATATTGAGAGTTTGCTAAATCCTGGCTCTAATTGTGAGCTGTTGGGTCTGTTTACTCAGCATCTCTACAGAGTGCGGCATGACAGGGCCTTGTCCTCCGTAGGCAGCCATAGAAATAATAGTAAAATCATTTTATAATTGTGGAAATTGCAGTGGGGGAAGGTTGATTCAATGGGACAGATTCACCCTGTACCAGCAGGAGAGGGGTCACTCTGCTATTCAGTGGCTGCAGGGGCCGGTGCAGACCTTGGCACAGGCTGAGGAAGTTCTGAAGCCAGCCAGAGTCACATCCCTATGACAATGGCCCCCGTGTGTCTTGCCCAGTGTGCAGAGTGTCAGAGGCCCAGCTTTACACTGCCCATGTCCCTCTGTCCCTCGTCCACCCCCTCCCTCTTCCTCCCACCCTCACCACCCCCACCCCATTCCCAGCCCTCTCAGGAACATGCCTTGTGCCTGCAGCTGCTGTGAAGGAGGCACCAGAGGCTCCTGTGCTGAAGAGATCCCTGACCATGGGGGAGGGGCTTTCCCCTTCCCTAAAGCCCATTTGGCCCAGACTAGCTGCATACAGGACCTGAGTCCAGTGATGGGCTCTGTCTACCTTTGAGAAATGTGCCCCATGACTGGTGATGGGGCAGTAGATGGGGAGGGCTCTGAGTTATAGAGAATTCTTGGCCGCGTGTCTCACTGTTGGGTCTTGCCAAAATGCTCGGCATTCAACTGACCACCATATTCGGGGTCGGAAGGAATTTCCCCTAAGTTAGATTGGCAAAGGATCTGGGGGGTTTCTGCCTCCCTTTGCAGTGTCGGGCATGGGTCACTTGCAGATTTAAGCTAGTGTCTATGGTGGATTATCTGTAACCTGAAGTCTTTAAATCATGATTTGAGGACTCCAGTAACTCAGCCAGAGGTTGGGGTCTATTGCAGGAGTGGGTGGGTGAGGTTCTGTGGCCTGCAATGTGCAGGAGGTCAGACTGGATGATCATGATGGTCCCTTTTGGCCTTAAAGTCTTTCTTTCTTTAACAGTAATTGTCATGGCATGGCACGGTTTTTGGTAGAAATAAAGGTTTGAATTAATCAACCTGAGTGACTTGGACCCCAAGTGCGTGACATTCTCACCCAACAATTAAATAGAAGCATCATCTAATTGTGAACCAATTGGCCAGAGCCACTCTCCTCCCTCAGTCTCAGAGGCTCATCCCAATTTCCGTTCCTAGATCCCTTCTAGGTACCTTTGAACTTCCCCAGAATCTCCAGTAGCGCAGTCGTTTTCCAGGAGAAACCACTGACTCGCTCTTCCAGTTCAGGAGAAATCTCCTCTGGCTGCTGGAACTTCCCCTTCTCACACCTGGAGAGAAACAGTTTCACATGATTATATTTCATTGTGTGACTCATTATAAGTTCTGGTTAGGGAGTCACTGCTCTAATGGGCCTGGAGTTAGAATTCCTCAACTTCTCCCAGCCTCAGAGCAGGTGCAGCACAGCCCATGGCCGTGCAACCTTCCCTTCAAAGGACTCATTAATATTCTTCAACTCTGGACTGGAGAGACCAGCTCTGGGATAAAAGGAAAATTGAGTCTCCATGGCCAATTCACTCCTTGGCCTCCATGATCTGAGGGACAGGAAGTTCCTGGGTGAAGTGCTCTGCCCTCTAGGAACTAGACTGAGACACCAACTCCCCCATCCCCAGCTCATTCCACACAGGCCTCCAAACAGTCCTCAGGTGGGAAAGACTCTTGATCGCTGCTGCCCTGGACTGAATAGTGACCAGTGCCCCAGCAGTGATAGGCCCATATTCCATCCCCGCAATCCCGAGGCAGCCAGTCCCCCAGGGAGCTCACATATCTAGGAAATACTTGGTCAGTCTTTCCCACTACATGGAGAATTCCAGATTCTTCTATACAAGGGTGAGAACCTCAGAATGAAGTTGATCAGAGAGATTTGTATCCAACATGTGACCTTCCCCACACATTTTGCTGTAGAGCCCTGGGGAGATGCAGTGCTAACATCACCACCAAGCCCTTTCCCAGCGTTGTGAAGTGTGAGGGGGAGTAAGAGAGAGACACACGTACCTGCTCAAGGTGCTTTTAATATCCTAGAAGAGAGAGAGACAAAAGAATTTCAGTCCCCTCTGACACACACACAGGAATTCAGGAAAGAGATTTTGCAAATATGGTGAAGCAAGGCCCTGCCCTGGCCCCAGGGCCATGGATTCCCTGAGCTAATGGGGCTTTTCCATCTCTCATATCTCTGTGTCTGTGACTCTGCAAAGAATAATATTCAGTCACATGTCAGCAATGCACACGCTGAGTTACATAGAGATCGCCGACTGCTGGACTCCAGTGCTTATGATTCAGGAGCCCTCCCTTCCCTGTGTGTTTCTGGCATGTTTCTAATTACAGGTGCTGGTTTCCAATTGTCCCTGGGGGTGCTCAACGCTATGCCGCACCCCCACTCCAAACCTTCCCCCAATGCCATACCCCTGCCCAATTATTCCCGCTCCCACTCCACCCACAGTCTGTCTCTTCCCCGCCTCCTCTTGTAAGCACACTCCCTCCCCGCTCCTCCCCCTCTCTCCCAGCCTCTCCTGCACACAGTGGAACAACTTATTGTAGCAGGCAGATGGTGCTGGAGGGAGGGGGAGGAGTTGATCAGCAGGGCAGCCAGCTCCTCCCTCAGTGTCACCTACTGGTTGCCCTGGAGAGCCCACCTATGTTTCTCATTCAGTCTCACCTGCAGGAATTCACTTGCTGGTTTCTGACACTTCCCCTCCAGCTCACTGATCAGCTCACTGAGACGGGAAACCTGCTCGGAGAGTTGACTGACATTTTCATTCTGGATCCTCACAATCTCTTCATCCAGCTTCTCCAGCTGGGCCAGCAGGAGTCGCTCTTGTTCCTCCAGGAACTGCTGCAGTTGGTGAAATTCAGACGCAATCTTCTGCCTCTCGGTTTGTGTTTGTTTCTGTATGAAAATAGGGCAAGGGCTGGTCAGGGACATATGGATGGAGCCCGGGGTCCTTTCATGGAGAGCTGAGTGGGGACGAAGCTGAATTTCTTTGAAAATCCTAAGATTTCTGACATTTGACTTTACCCTGTGCGTAGTAGGCAGGGGATTCTCTTGCACCTTCCCCTTTGGCCTCTGTATCTCTCTGAAAGGGATGTTTCCATGCCTCTCATGGTCAGCAAATTCTGTTATTTATGGTCTCTGGAAATTCAGACCCAGAGCAGCAGGAGGCAGGACTCAGCACTGTACTGACAGAGACACCAGTGGTGTTAAAAGAAATAAACATTTAAAAAATGCACAAAATGACCAGGCACAGCGGACAGCACTTCACGGGGACATTCAGTTCACCTGGGGAGGATTTCTGGGTAAACCACAAGGGCTAGACATTAACTCATCAACTGCAATGGAAGCTTATGGCTTGTCTACACATGAACCTAACCCAGCAATCCATGATCATGGAGAAACACACACAAGACCATGTTCACCAAGGCCACAGAGGAGTCTGCCTCCAAACAGACTTCCCACTGCCACCGCC